CCCTCGCTCCCTCTGGGCTTCCGTGGCGGCGCGGGCGGCGGCAGCAGGACCACCGGCCTGGACGTGCCGACGCCGGAGAAGATGGCTGGCGGGTTCTTCTGGGGCCGGTGCCTCAGGAACGCCGAGCTGTGCAAGTAGAAGTCCTGCGGGCAGAACGGCTGGGCCTGGGCGGGAGCGGACGGCGTGCCGAGCCCCGCGGGGCGCGCGCCGCCCGGGAGCGCCTCCCGCAGAAGGGCCGCCGCGGAGGTCGCAGGGCCTTTAGCCGGAGGGGACCCTTTCCGCTTTCGGGACCCAGCCGAGGGAACGCGCCCCTTCTCCTCGAGGCGGGGCCGGGGGACGCGAAGGCCGCGGACTGAGCCTTCATCTGCTGCCGGCTTGGTGGCCAACTTCTGCTTGAACCGGAGAAAATCCTGTCTAGTCTCCTGGCGAATCTTCTCAAGCTCTTTGAACATGTACGATTCTTCCTTCTGTTTCAGTCCGAAGTGCTTCGGGATGTTGAACATCTTGACAAATGTGACCTGTAAAATACACCCTAGATAAGTAAATAAATAATATATGTAACAAAAACTCCTGTTGATAAATAAAATCCCAGCTCAGCAAAGCTGGTCGTGGTAGAACCTCATGGCGCTTCCTGACGCAATGCCTTCTCCTCCATTCTCCTCTCGAGATCTTGGGCGCATTTTACAGTACACACACACACACACACACACACACACCCAGCGTGAGTTTAAGCCACCGGATCCAGGACTCGAACTGCGGTTTTAACTACGTGGGAATCCAGCGACATAGCCATTATGCTAACTGCTGGTCCCTCGAATGCCAAGTTTTGATACTTGTTCTTTGAGCTACTGAAAAACACGCAAAAATTTTAACAGGAAAGTAGTTTGATAGGATATGGTTTGGAGGATATTAATATTGAGTGGAAGAAAGAATAAAAGCAGGAAAGAAAAATTGAAGCCTCTGAAGCTTGTGCCTAAGGCTTGGCATGGGTAATAGATAGAGTGAAAACAGAGCCCAAACAAGGTAAAACCAATAGGATTTGGCCAATGATTAAGAATAAATAAAAGCTGGGGACCAGCAGGTCACCACCTGGTGGTTAAGGTGCTAGACACTCCCACATAGCCGACTGCGGTTCGAATACTGGACCCCGTGGCTTGCTTTCTCACTTTCCCTCTCTGTGTGTGTGTGTGTATCTCTGTGGTCAAATTAAAATAAATGAATGAATAAATAAAATTAAATAATTATTTTTAAGAAAGAATAAATAAAAGCAATAAAAACTCCATAGGGGCCAGCAGGTGCTATGGTGGTTGAGGCACTGGACTCCCACATGGCGGACCACAATTCAAGTCCTGGACCTGACAGCTTGCTTTCTTGCTTTCCCTTTCTCTGTCTCTCCCTGTCTCTTTCTGCTCAAATTAAAAAATAATAACAAATGGAATTAATTAAATAAATAGCTTTTAAAAAGATAGAAAACAAACAAAAACCTCCTTCATTAAGGGGCCAGTAGGTGGCGTGGAGGTTAAGGCACTGGATAGTACGTGGCCAACTGCGCAGCTGGAGTCAAGGACTTGGTGGTTTGAAAAACACGTGGGGGGGGGTGCATGTTTGTGAGTGCCCAAAATCCTGAGAGAATGGAGGAGAAGGGATTGTTGCATGGCCATACTCCCCAAGGAGTGATTTCTCTCTCTCTCTCTCTCTCTCTCTCTCTCTCTCTCTCTCTCTCTCTCTCTCTCTCTCTCTCTCTCTCTCTCTCTCTCTCTCTCTCTCTCTCTCGCTCTCTCTCTCACACACACACACACACACAGACTGTAATAAAAAACAATCATAATACAGAAACTCCTTCATAAAGTAGAGACTGCATCTTGATAAAGTCTTGGACATACCAAATGCAAAATAAAACTACTTTTACTTACTGAACTGTACACTTCAAAATGGTTTTAGAAAGTAGGTATTATGTGTATTACACCAAGTTTTTTTTTAAAACTTTAGTTATTCAGCAAGAGAATAATAATAATTGAATATTGCGATCTTGAAAACTGTTGCAATAATTACCAGGAGCCAGGTTAACCGGAAATATATACAGAGAAGGGTCTAGTGGCAGAATCTATGGCACAAATACATGTGGGAAATAGGAAGAAAAAGAACAATCAAGAAGGTGAGAAAAGGAGAATAGAGTTCTACAAAAGCCAAGAACAAGAAAGTTTCAAAAAGCAGGGCTAAAACAATGAACATGAAAGCAAAACATAATGAATTAAAAATACAGTATTTTGGGAACCAGCAGTTAGTGTAATGGCTATGTCACTGGACTCCCACGTAGTCGACCACAGTTCGCGTCCCGGACCCGGCGGCTTAGAACTCATACCGGGTGTGTGTGCATGCGTGCCCAAGATCCCAAGAGGAGAATGGAGGAAAAGGGATTGCGGCGTGACCATCCCCCCTGGGAGGTGATTTCTCACTTTCTGTCTCTATGTCTTTCTCTGTCTGTCTGGCGAGCGCATGCGCCCTATAGCAAAAAAACCTCTCCAAAAAAAAAAAAAAGTAGTATTTTTTGAGAAAATCCAAGGCCAAGGTTGTTTGAAACAGTAATAATGAAGCAGAAACATCTCTAGAATATCATCACTAGTTGCAGATATAATTATCTACCTAGAAAACCCAGGCACAAAATAACTACTTACAACTATAATACAACTCTGCAAAGTATATTAATTTTTTTAATTATATAAAAACCAATAACTTTCTTTATACTAAAATGTCCCAATCAAAAATTTCATTTATAATGAAATTTTAAAAAATATTAGCAAAATTTCATTTATAATTTTTAAAAGAGTAAGTATCTAGGCATAAACACAATAAGAAATGTGCTAAGACTACATGAGTAATGTTTATAAATTTCACTGAAGGATAAAAAGGAAAGGCTTAACAAATAGTTAATATTCCTTGGTGGGAAGACTGAATATTTTCATTATATCAGGTCTTCCTAAGATGCTCTGTGGCTTAATGCCAATTAAAAAAAAAAATCTAGGGGGCTGGAAGGTGGCATGGTATTTAAGAGTGCTGAACTCTCACATGGCCTACAGAGGTTCTAGTCCCAAACCTGGCGGCTTGCTTTCTCACTTCCTCTTGCTTTCTCTTGCCCTTAACTCCTGCTCTGTCCCTCTCTGGTGAAATTAAAATAAGTAAATAAATAGATAAATTTTAAAAATAAAAAATAATTATTTTTAAAAAAGAAAAAACAAATCTAAAAATGATATTTTGAACTTTGAAATGTAACCCCTAATTTCATTGAAATAATAAACAGGGTAGATTAGCCAAAAAAAATTGTAAAGACAATGAGAGGGTACTTGTCTTTCAGTGAGGAGTAACCAGACAAGTAAAACATATATAACATGTTACATATATTTTGCATATAAACATATAAAACATATACATATATATAAATATATATATATATGAAAATTAGAACTGAAGTATTGCTAACAGAATCAATAGGAAGAGAGAAAAGAAACAAGAATCATATGAGTTATAAAGGTACGTTAAATTATTTAGAAAGGGAGAATCAATAAATTGTGCAGAGGCAAATGAGTGACTATTTGGGAAGAAAAGTACACCCCATTGTGTGCCATACACCAAAATAAATTCATATAGATTTAAAAACTTAAAGGCAGAAACTATTTTGGGGGGCCAGCAGGTGGCATGATGGTTCAAGTGGCTGGATTCTCACACGGCCAACCTCAGTTAGAGTGCAGGACCCAGTGGCGTGAAAATCATGCTGGGCACATGTACATTTGTGCCCCAAATCCCAAGAAGATAATGGAGGAGAAGGGATGGTTGCATGGTCATACAACCCGCTCCCCAGGGGGATGATTTCTCACTTTCCCTCTCTCTGTCTGTCTCCTCTCCAGTGAGCGCACGTGCCCTATACCAAAAACCTAAGAGGAAAAAAAAGGCAAGTATTTTCTTATTTTACTTTGTATATCTTATCACTTATAAAAATTTCTTGGCTGAATTCATATCAATTCATAGAAAAGCTATCTTCAAAATCAGAATTCCTCATTTATCATGTAGTTTGGGTAATATTTTAAAATTTTAGTTTTCGGGAACCAGCAGTTAGCGTAATGGCTATGTCACTGGATTCCCACGTAGTTGACCGTGGTTTGCGTCCTGGACCTGGTGGCTTAGAACTCATGCCGGGCGCGTGTGCGTGCATGCCCAAGATCCCGAGAGGAGAATGGAGAAGAAGGGATTGCGGCGTGACCATCCCCCCCTGGGAGGTGATTTCTCACTTTCTGTCTCTATGTCTCTCTCTGTCTGTCTGGTGAGCGTACGTGCCCTATAGCGAAAACCTCTCAAAAAAAAAATTTTTTTAGTTGTTTTCCAAAATAGTCATATTGCTTTTAGTCTAAAATATGAACTTCTGATTCTTAAACCACTTAATAAAGTTCTTATCCAGGAATAAATAGGCTTTCTTTATGTAGCTCCACCATTGACTAGACCTTGGACAATTCAATTTTATCCATACCATGGGTTCCTATTAAAAAGTGAAAAAAAAAAAAAGATCTGTTGCCTATTGCCCAGGCCATAGTACATGAACATTAGAAATCATTTCTAGAGCTGGCAGGTGGCATGGTAGTTAAAGGCACCAAACCGTGGTTCGAGTCCTGGACCTGGCAGCTTGCTTTCTCACTTTACCTTTCTTTCTCTCTGTCTCTCTCTCTCTCTGGTCGAATTAAAAAATAATAATAATGGAATTAATTAAATAAATAAATAATTCCTTTTAAAAAAATGAAATTATTTCTAAAGCCCTTAAGAAAGTTTTCTTATTGAAAATTGCTGTATAATCCTTCTCATAGTATTTTGGTGGCTATTGTTTGCACAGGTAGTAATATGTTCATACTGACACCACCTGCATTTCTTCCTGCAAAAAAGTTGTAAGGCAGACACCAAAAATACACTAATACTTGATGATCATCTGACTTACCCTCCCAACTGCACTTCCCTTTTATTTCTTAGTTTCTGCTTTGGATGCCCTTCCCAACTTCTCCCAGGCCTTTGGTCTGCTATTGAAGTTTTAACAAGTGCCCATTGTTTAACAATTTCTCAGTACATTCTCCTGAGTTCCTAGTAGAAAAGTTGCTCTTTTTCTCTAAAAATTAGCCAATAAGAGTTCTAAATTCTAAACTTCTAAATTTGACAGGAGCCTCTATTGTGCATTCAAGATGGGTGACATCTCAGTGCTTAATGGGCCAGGCCATCAAAGCTTAGTGATTTATTACTGTAAAAATTCAATAAAATGATGGGGCCAGTAGGCGGCATGGGGATTAATGGTGTTGTAATCCCACAGGGCCAACAACAGTTCAAGTCCTGGACCTAGCAACTTGTTCTCTCTCTCTTTCTTTCTGGTCTGATTAAAATAAATAAAGAAATAAAGTTAAATACAATAGTTATTTTAAATAAATAAACAAAATTATTTTTGAACACCTAATCTCATGGGAAAATAGCATGTTTCCTTTTCCTTGGG